CACCGATGTAGCTTGTGTAAGATTTGCTAACTGATTGCATGCTATCTTCTTTGCATTGATGGATCAAAATTGATTCCTAAACTCAGTCTCAAACTCCTCTCAAGCACAAAATCCACCTTGAGCTCCATAACTTTGAACTCAATATTGCCACCAAATGGTTGCTGCATCTCTCAAATAGATAGTTGCATATATAATTCCTTCAATAGTATTTGCCTCAAATAGTTGGAGGTATTGTTATAAGTTAAAGAATCATTGACATATATCTTCTTGTCTTGAAGTTCTAGAGTATGTATTTAGCTTACTCAATTTCAACCTAACAAATATCGACTCTCTTGTCCTTGTCGCTTCTATTTGTCCTTGCAAAGTAGCTATCTGGCCTAAAAAGTGTTGTATTTGAGCTTCCATCTTGGATTGCTTTATCATATCTCTCATACTGTAATTTTTTCACTGGACTCTACTATTGTAATGTCTTTTTATTTTTCAATTGACTTTTTAAGAGTAGATTGTGATAGCCTCAAAATCCAAGATCCTTCTAATCTATAGCAACATAAAGCTTCATCACAAAATAAGACAAAATAGACCAAAGGAAAACTAGATGGATCTAAACAAAATAGGACATGAAAGACAAAATTGAGCAAACAGAAATAAAATAGAACAGATCTGAACAGAAAGATATAGAACCAAACTTTACTAAGAGAATGAATCCAAAGCCATACTTGGTTAGATGCTTCAAAAGGCCTTGGTTAATTCTACTTATACCTTGTCCTACTACCCTGGACTTTCTTGAATGTCCTAGATAGTGGATTCCACCTAAATAACTGTCATAAGCCTTTTCAAGAAGGTTCCATGGTATGCCTCACTTAAATAATTGTACTAAACTCTTTTTAAAATGTTCTATAGTGGGTCTGACCTGGTCCACTAACCTAATCCTAATTCTAGAAACTTCCATGGTTCTAACTATCTATACAATTATCTTATCTTTATCCTATTATACTTATGGTATAAGGTAACTATATGGTGCATAGATAAGAAACTTATCTTGTAAGTTAGATATATTTTGAAGGTCCTATAAAATATCTCTATGTAGCTTCTAATTAAATAATATGTATAGAGGTAGGAGTGAAGTTTTCTACATTTTTTTCAATGCCTTTCTTGTTTTTAATTTTGTTTTAAGAATCTCTATTCTTCTTGTTTTTGGCAATAGCTATTCTATTTTTAATATTATATTATTTTAAATAAATATATACTTTTTTAAAATGATACAATAGAATTTTGAAGATTTTATTGTTGTAGTTCATGTCCTTGACACTTAGTCATATAATATATATGGAGTCAAAAATGAGACCTTCTTTCTTATCAAAGCTTTTCTTGTATTATTATATTAATTCAAGAATTTTTAATTGTTTAAGTTTTTGTCTTATATCCATCTTTGATTTGTCTATTTTTTTTGAATGTCATAAGAGCATATTATTTTTTTTTAAAAAAACTTATAATGATTCATATCTTTAACAATTAAATTCTTAAAGAAATTTATAAAGAAGAAACAAACCATAATCAATCACTTAACTTTTTATAATAATATAAATTATACATTTTAAAATAAATTAGAGGCATAAATTATTACAAAAAAAATCTATCATTTTATATAATAAATTGATATATGTTGAAGCAAAATAGTTATAAATGAATATTAAAAAAGTTTTGCTTATCTTTTGGTCTTGATATATTTTTTTAAAATCAATTGTTTTTTGTTGTATTTTAATTAATTTAAGTCTAAACATGACCTCTTATGTGTAGGATAAATTACATTGTTTATTAATTGTAAACTTATTTTTTTCTTGTTCTTATACTTACTTCTTATGTAATTTAATTTATATTTTAATATTATTAATAGTTCAAACATAAGAACTTATTTTGAACAAAATATTACTTATAATTATGTAAATAATAAATAAAATATATTATTTAAATTTAGTTTTTTTATGTAGTAATTTTTAATTCAAAACCATTGATTTTATTTACCTTTCTTATATATCTATTTTTCATTCAACAATATTTTTAAATTTATATAACTTAAGAAAATATACTATACTATTTGAAGAGATCTTATAAGCTAAGGATAAGATTGCATTGTCTCAAATTTAGATGTAGTGGTGAAGAATAAAATGGATTGTTTAAAACCTCACATATTAAGAAAAAAAGATGCAAATTAAGATCTAAATAGATAGCTTATAAACATCCTATAGCTTTATAAATTTTTTAAATTTTTAATTTTTTTAATATTTAGTATCTAAATTAGATGATAAGTTTCTAATTTGATTATATATAGGTTTCTAAAAAAATTAGTTATTATTAAATGAGTTGTTAATAAATAATTCATCATTATAATTAAACATCTTGTATGGTAAGAATTTTCTTAATAAAGAATACACTTCAATTAAGTATCAAAGATATGAATCATAAAAAAATCTTAACATAAAAAAACATAATTTTGTGACATTTAAAGATAGAAAGTAGAAAAATTAAATAAAAATATAAGAAAAAAACTATAATAGCTATTGTCAAATACAAGAAGACTAGAGGTACTTGAAATAGGGCTAAAAACAAGAAAGTCATTGTTAGGATTGAAAAAGACTTCATTCTTACTTCCAAATATACTATCTAATTAGGAGGCTATATGATAACATTCTATAGGCCATCTAACATGTATTCAACTTATAATACATGTATTTAATTTACAAAGCAAGTTTCCAATATGTGCTCTACATGGCCAACTTGTAAAGAAAGTGGTTAACATGTACAACATGTGGCTAACTTGTTGGCCAAGTTTTCAACCGACCAATTATTTACCGACATTTAGAAAGTTAAATCTACATCTATATAGCTTCTAAGAAGCTTTTCCATAAGATATTATCAAAATTATTTACTTATATTTATTTCTACTTAGCTCTTTTAATTTAGGTAATTATTAATGTTAATATATATATCCATTATATTATGAAAATATCACCAAGTAAGAAGGATTAGAATTTTTTTTAAATGAAATATATCTTGTATTTAAATAATATCTTTTTATTTATTTAAATTTATATTATTATCCAAAAAAATAAATTTATGACGAATTTTTTTGTGTCCTTAAAGAAGATAACAATTATGTTTATTCTAAAGAAAACAAGATTACTAAGTCAAGAGTGAGTGGTAATATTTAAGTGATTATTTATCCATTAGCCTCATATTGAAGATGAGTTATTAATTAGAATTAATATATATTGTTAAGTTTGTCAAAAAGTGAGCAAGTCCTATTCTAAAACAAAAATTAAAGTAGATCCAATTAATATTAGGATACAACTTAATTTTATTGCATAAAAAATAATTAAGCTTGTATGAATGAATTAGAGTGATTTGTAAGTAATTTATGTTTTGATTGGATATAAACCAAGTGATTTGTTGTTAGAAATTGAAAGAATAAAATTTATATAATAGAATCAATTATGTCTTTGACACAAGTGTTAATATTATTCCATTTGACCTTTAGTAACTACTTGAAAAGACTCTATACACTTAAAAAAAAAGATATTAAAATTAATTGTACTATCTAATTGATTAGCTTGGCGACCAATTTGTAGTACTAATTGATTAGAATATGGTCTAGACTAATTGCTAAGACAAGGTTACTCTTTGTTAAAAGATAAAATTTCTATAATATACCTAAAATTAATTGATATGAGATGTAGGTTTCAAACTAGAAATATACAATTTAAAATTAAAACTAATGATTTAAATTAAAATTATTCCTAATTTCCTACTTAGTAGTCTATTTTTCTTTGTTCAAACTTTATATGCCTTAATTTTGTTGGCAAGAACAAAAAAAATTAATCATGGCCTAAAAAAAACAATATAAATGGTTTATACACAATTGGACATATAAATGATTTACTTATGTAGACTCTCTATCACATTGAAGTTATCTCCTAGTGGTTGTCTCTTTGTATTTCAAACACTATTTATTAATTCATAGAATACATATATATATATTAATTATTTTTTCTTTTCTTACTAATGTCTATATATAAAGTGTATGTATTAATTCATTCTCTTCATTAATTCAATTCTATCAAATCTTTATTTAAAATGCATCGACCGATAGAAAGCAATTTATTCCTATTTTTTTAGAAAATTAAAATTTTCGTCAATGCTAGCAAAGAATATACCTTTCTTTAAGAAGTTAAACATTCTACTGAGGTGCAACTTAAAACATACTTTCTAAACGTTTACCACTCAGTATTAGTTTCAAACAAGTAGATACAGAAAATAGCCAAGAATACACATTCTGGAATTCTTGGAAAAAGTCCGCCTTGCATTACTACGTGACATTTCAGATTTAAAGTACTTGGGTGAATTGCATGCTCAAGGGTGTAGCCGCCACTATTCCGAAAGATGGCTCGTGTGCATGCGAGAATAATCTCATCCATCTTCGTCCCTGGAATCTGTTCATCCATTCATAGAGACCCCGAATAGTACACAGAGGGTGGACCGAGATGACACAGCTTCCTCATCCTCACAGAGTGTGGGTGTCTCGCTGTCTCAGTTCTCGTATCGCGTAGCGTCGCACCGCACAGCACTGCATCCCTCACCACACGCTTCAGGTCCTGCAGTGCTCCAGGGTGCATAGGTTGCTCACCGGGCATCTCTTTTACCTCCCGATCTCAAGTCCACATCTTCACTCCATCTGGTCTAGTCATGGAAAATGACATACTCGTGTCTACTCATGAAAGGGTTAAAATTGCAACGAGTTCGTGGAGGAGGATAAGTGCAGAGGCATAGAGTCGCACTGGGAAGCCCCGTCTCGCTTGTGAGATAGCGCTGTATGTGGCAGTCGGTAGAATGAATGCTGTTTGACTTCTCTTCTGGGTGACAATGGAATTAGACATAGTGACTAGTGTTGATGCAACCATTGCTACTCATCGCACAAGGCTGTACCAATAGGCAGGCTCACAGGGGCGTGGGAAAATCCATGGATTACACAGGGCAAGGCAAAACGTCCTTGCCACCATCGTGATCTTAATACACTGATCTCGTGACCATTACACGGAGCTGCTGCGCTCTTTACAACACACAGAATTACACAGTTCGAGGGTAATGGAGCCTCCAATTTTGTGATCCAGCTCTACACGCCTCGCAGGCCAGAACATTATCATCACAGATCAGAGCTACAAAACTTACTTTGATTGCCAATGGCCGGAGACACATTGCCGTCAAAATTGAAGGAACAAAGCTACATTTCAATGCACACTGGGCTAAGAATGATTGTTGTCGAGCTCTCTTCACCTAATTATGCAGACTTCACCCTGCTCACGGCAGACCCTCTATCGGCCGCGGTTAAGTGCTTTCTCCGCATCCTTCACCTCGTCCAAGATACGGTCCTTGCGCTTAGCGGGAATAGGATAGGTAGCGCCGAAGCTGACGTAGTGCCCACTAATAGCATTGATGACAGAGTACATGTTGCTGAATGAGGGTTTGCCTGCAACCTTCTTGGCCTTGCGGTACTTGGCAACCCATTCATTACCGGACTGGCGCAATTTCGCCACCGCAGCTGCTTTGTTAGGGTCCGTCTTCTCCATCGCCAATGTTGATCGCACCTGGCCGATCATATCTTGCGTCTCGGACTTGTAATCCTCATCGAAATCGGCAAAAGCACCACCCACGACGCCAAATGTGGAGACAAGCAATGTGCCAACAGAGAGCTGACGGCGAGACACAGGGGCAGAAGAGTCGGAAGAATCGGAGTGGGTGGAAGAGCAGGATACAGCCCGAAGTGGGCATGAGGACCCAGTGCGCGACGAGGATGAATTTGCGAGGAGGTTGTGGGGAGGTGTGAGAGAAGAGGAAGAGCAGTGGAAGACAGAGGGGAGTTGCAATGTGGACGCCATGGCTGAACAAGACGGACGACGAGAGGAGAGAGGGTGGGAGGTGGAGATGAAAGAGTACGGGGTATGCAAAGAGTGTGGAAATGAATTGCAGAGGAGCAGGAGACGCAGGCACGGATGAAGCAGGCAGATGACGAAGCAGAAGGAGCGAAAGGAGAGGAGAGGAGAGCAGCCCCGAGTGGCAGCGCATCACTGGCAGCTCGCTGTGGATAAAAAGCCCCTCCTCCTATCCCCACGCCACCACCAACGATCTCACCCTCGTCCTCCTCCCATCCGTCTCTCCGTCCGTTCGGCTATTCGTCCTTCGTTCGTCATCTCTCGTTACCCCTCCTTCCACCTCCTTCCCTGGTATCCGCGGCGAGGAGCAAGCTTTACGTAGCTCGAATATTTTTGGATGCTTATACTGCAGTATGCGGCAGAATCGTGTTAGTACTTAAGGCTCGATAAACAGAATGTAAGGAACATAAAGGAGAGTGCAAGAATAAAATTTGGTGCAACGAATGCTATGGGTGTGTGCCTCAATTCCCACATGAAAGTAGCATTTTAGTAGGATGACATCAACGAACTTTGTAGTGGTCCTTGTTTTCTTAAAACAGGCACTTGCTTGTGGAAAGTCAACTCTGGAGACACGCCTGATTCACGGTCCAATGCACTTATGGGTTTCGGGAAGGTGTGGTGTAGGGTTCCATCGCTCAAGCCACTGCGAGGACAGAAACCAGCTAGAGGCAAGTTCGAAGAGAGCTGTGCACAGTGGAGCTGTAGAAGCACTGAGTACATCTCCTTAGTTTCCCCTATATCGACTTAATTGCACTTTCAAGACTGAGCACGACTTCACTTGGGATCAAATTGGCCGAACGAATGATCACAAAAGAGATCTTGAAGTGATTTTATGAAAGAAAAAAAACACCTGTATTCTGCAACAATTCTGATCCGGGACGACTGATCTCTTGGCCATGCGAGGACTTACTCCCTAGGCACCACCTCGAGAATTTAAAACCTGGAAGTGCAACAATGTTATACTGCTGACGGATGAACCTAATCAATTGCTAACTTGAACTTCCTATAATCAGACTAATCCCACTTGAGAGTCTTTCGTCAGCAGACTCGAAGCTGGTTTGAAAACCGTAAACTGGCTGGAATCTAGAGAAAATGCGGGGTACTGGGAAATTCGAAAATGTCCCAATGAAGATTTCGGCAGGACACTACTACAGTTCATCTCCACAGCTCGGGCATGCATTACTAGACTGGGCAGACTGAGAAAACTTTTTCTATGGTAATGTTGGCGATCAGATCATTGTGAGTTGATATTGTTGGCAGTTGTCTCAATGCGACGTAACCACTTCGAACCAAATTTCATGGAAGCAAAGTTATCTCGACATTGAGCGTGCAGTCTCCGAAGTCCTGCGGAGTAAACGAAAAGCCTGCTGCAATCAAGAAGGAAGCAGACTCGCAGCAGTGAATGGGTTGATTCCCTGATGCAAACTTGCGTGATCGTCTGTATCTGCATTTCAAATCCGACAACGTTGCTCTGCAATTACTTCCCAAATGCCCAGTTGCTCGGTCCGCAAGCCCGGCAAGGAATTCCGAATCGATGGTGACAATCGGACAGTTAAGTAGTCCAGAATTGACCGACAACGCATGTCAGCAGCTCTAAATTTTGCTCTCTTCACCAAAAAAAGGAACACCTACGGATAAGTTCTGGTGCCCGCTTTCTGTGAGAGAACACGCCCTTCTGGAAGGTGACTCGCCACAGGGCCAAATCTACTAGGTGGCCACACCACATGAGTCACTTTTCCTTTCATCAACCCTAATGGAATCTGCAAAATGAACAGAGATGGATCCCTTATCAACAACCAAATGCAGTGACTACGAGGTAATACTGACGATGAATATCCATTTCCAGCCAGATCTATGAACGAGCCATGATCTCGTTGCCAGCACAAACAAAAGCACAGAAAAGACAATTCGACAAATGGAGTATTCGTGAGAGTACGCACTGGGCCAAACGACTTTGAATCCAAACTGATCTCTGCATTGTCACCTTCAACCCAGCAATGTCCTTTGGGCACCTGTAGCAGCAGTTGACTGACCTCGGTTAGATAGATGGTGGGTGGACCATACCAGTGTCGAGTATTTCGTAAGAGAGGTGTACGCATTTATTCACCTGAAGGATATCATATGTTCCCGGCACAGTCACCCAGTCACCTTGCAAAGCAATTAACCTCTTCACCAACCACATTTTTGGTTCCAACGGGGACCTGCTTAAGCAAAACATGCAATACACATCGATTTCAAAAGACCAGATGATGCTGGAAATACCAGCGCCTTGACATGTAACCTGAATCACAACAATTTGATGACGTAGCTATTTTTAATACTGCGTTCAAATTCAAGCCTGATTACTAACAGATCAATTTCGTGACGAAAGGAAGACGTATAATGCGACCTTAACATGATTTTAGCCAAAGATCACATGTCCGGGAGAGAACAGAAAAATAATTGCACCTGAAGACGACAACATCCCCACGAGAGAAGTTGTAGGTTCGCAGGGAAAGCTTCTCCAAGAAGAGCAAATCCGCATTCAGGTAACCCCACGGATCATCTTCAGCTGGATTTAGAGTGGGCTGCATGGATCGCCCATGCATGGTAGCCACGCTGCCAATCCTGAAAACACGCACCATTTAGAGATGATATCCCTTCCACACAAAAAAAAAAAAAAAAAAAAAAAAAAAAGAAGAAGAAGAAGAAGAAGAAGAAGAAGAAGAGACTTCTAACCTCATCACGCTAGCTAGCGATTGCTGAACTGCTGCCACTTTTCTTCCAGACCAGGAAGAACAACATCTCAATCAAAAGAAATAAAAATTGGAACAAATGATGAAATAATAGAGCAGAGATTAGGGCAAAACCTGTCAGACAGAGTGATGCCGACCACAGCTCCGGCGCAGACGCGTTTGGTGAGTAACCAGAGGGAGGAGAGGAGGGATTCTCCCATGGGAAGTGAGGTTAGAGAGAGAGATTGGAGATGGACTAATAAGAGGGCGAAGGAACCAGAAGAAGGGAGGGCACCAGGCAGGATGAGAAGCAGTGTGCAGGAGATAAGAGGCTCTCCTGCACAATGTTTGAATGTAATAGACCCAGCGCAGGAGCAGAGTCCCCTTCCACGCACACAAGCGCACTCTCTCTCTCACACAAGCACACCAGTATCAAAAACTGAGACACAGGCGGATGAGTGTAGTTGCAGAACGAGGTGGGGGCTTAGGCAGGCAGGGGGAGCGGGGGTTGACCCCCCTCTGCCCCTTCCGTTGAGGCGAGGGCGAGAGAGGCCACCTCTCTCTCTCTCTCTCTTAAACCTCACCTAGCACTCTGTTTGATGTGTTCCTCCCACATCTCTCCCCCATGCCCACATCCTCCTCACCATAAGCCTAACTAAGCACATAAACATACATTTTTCATTTCATGCCACCAATGTGAGGCCACTCTAATACCAACAAAATTCACATACCCAAAACCATAAACATATAAATTTACATCTTAATAGTAGAAATCCATGCAATTTTCATCAACAATATGCAAATTTTGATACGTGATTGATGAAAAGTTGAGTTATTGCTTCATTATTGTTTCACTTTTGATGAAAACAATGAGATATGCAGCCAATCAAAGATGGTTTCTATCTCTTTTGGATAATCATGTTGTTTTATTTTCCTAAGCTATTTTATATAAGAGATCAATCTTATGTCTTTTATATTAATAAAATAGTACAAAAAATTATACATATAAAATATCATATTTCTAAAATTTTGATTTAGAATTATATAAGATAGTTTTAAAAACTCTATCTAATATTAATCTAGATAAATTTGGTTTTAAAATTTAATTTTATTAATACTTTTGACTAATATTCTTACTAAAAAAAATATCAATAATTATAATTTTAAATTTTTGATATCTTTCTAACTTTTTATTTATAAAGTTTAGAATTTTTTAATAAAAAAAAAATTATAATATGTAAAAATATAATTTTTTAATAATATAAAATATCAAAACAAAATTTCAAATGAATTGCAAATTTTTAAATTTAATATATATATATATATATATATATATATATATATAAATTTTATGTAAATTATTCTTTTAATTTTCTTCAATATATGTGTATTGATAGTTACAAGCTATGATAAATTCTAACATGATTTTTTAGTTTTTTTATACATATCTTTTAAATCCAAAAAAATCATAAATAAATTAAAATTAAAATTTTAAAATTTATGTATAAAAATATACATATAAAAATTTCATATTTTAAATGATATCTAATAAATTTAGATTCAAAAAATATTAGAGGTGTATATATGAAACAAATAATAATAATATACCTTTGTAATTAATGACACCTATTATTCTAATCAATAGAATTTTTTGATGTTTTATAAAGAGGTATACTGCTCAATTTTATATTATCAAAGATATACATATTTATTCTAATAATTACCAATATGATTAAGTAGAAGTAGGTAAAAATAGATTAATTTCATAATATCTTCTAAAGAAACTTCTTAAAAGCTTTATAGATGTGACTTTGACTTTATACTTGTTTATAGATTAGAAACTTGGTCAATAAGTTAGTCACATGTCATAAGTATTGATAGCTTATAGAATAAGCTAACTATGTGGCGTATATAAAGAAAAATTGCCTTGCAAGTTAAGACATGTGTCTTGTAATTTGGACATGTATAGGAAGTCCAAGAAAATGTTACTTTTTAACTCCTAATTAGATAGTATATATGGAAGTAAGAGTAAAACATTGTTTATTCTTTTCTAGTCTTTAGTCTTATTATAAGACTTTCTTGTCTTGTCTTTAACAATAGTCATTCTAATTTAATATTATACCATCTTTGAGTGGCTATCTATTCTTTTCAAGTGACAAAAGAATATCCTAATCTTTCAATTTTTAGAGATTCTGGTCCTTGACAATTTGACAAGAGTGATAACTTATTGTTCTTGTCTTGTTTTAGAAGTGAGTGGATTATCTTACTTCTATTATTGTATTTTGAAGGTTGCAGATTATGATTGCTCGTTTTACTTATTCTGGAAGAAACCTCCCAAAATAAACCCATATAGGGAGATTTGAATATGGGGAATGACTAGTTGCTTAAGCGTTCACGTTAGGGTCACACAATCAATTACCTCCTGAATGTATCGTCTCTATTTTCAATATCTGAACACACAAAGAAACTATAATCTCCTCCTTCACCTTATCGGTCTCTTCCTTATAGCAATTCAGTCATACCAATAACTGTTATTTCCACCAATATATTCACCCTCATAATTTCCATCTGTAATACAGCACCCTCATAGCTTTTAGCACACAATTATCCTCGTTCCAATCACTGGAATTCTTCACACAGAACTGCCATTCACATTACAGTGTTTCATACAAACACAGATTTATTCTCTCTGCTGAACTACAATCAAATTTCAGCATTCAATCTTTCTTCTTCTCAAATAATACCAATCACATTTCTATTCCATAATTCACTTCACAATATTCAGAAACTCTCAATCCTTTTATTCAAAGAAAATAACAAACAAAAGAAAAGAGGTAGCACCAAGCTTATCCCGGCTCACACTATCACAGCGATGGCACCTTAATTAACTTCTATAACTCCTATATACTTTCCCTTGATTCTCCAGATTCTAACCGTAATTCTGTAATTAACCACTTTTAATAACTAAATCACTCATCCGTCCTCCTGAATTTCCTATTATATAGACTATTAATATATTTTACCAATATCTTTCAAAAATGAATTTATATCTATTCTATCTAGCCCCACTCCTATCTGTGCAACGTCCTCGCAAACACTCAATTGATACCTGTCTAAAAATTATCTAACAAAACTCTACAAAAATTGCGATCCCTCTAGCCTATCTAATTAATCAATTGTCGTAGTATCTATTATTGGTTCCATCGATTTTGATTCCAATTGCAAATCTTCTTCTTCTTCCTCCAATCCTTCCATCGGCTCCTACCTCAACTGAGCTGAAAGGTCTTCATTGTACTCACCCAGTACACGGACTTGAGCCTCCAGTTTCAAGATCTGGACATTCCGAAGTTCCAATTGTTGCTGCTGACTCATCCATTCTAGAATATCTTCAATCGACACTTGTGACCGGCTCCTCACTGTTATATCTTAACTAAAACTACTACTCTTGAAAATACAAGAAATACAAGAAAATGGCACTCCAGCCAACCCAAAACAACACCACAGAATGACTTTAACTGGTGCCCCACTCCTATTCTTTTATTACTTGGTGATAATAACATGTTATCCATACTGTTCATGAAAGGTAATGGAAGGTAATCTTTTTTAGTGGCCACATTTAACTTTCGAAAATCTTCACATATCCTGATTTTTCCATTCTTCTTCTATACCATCACGATTGGGGATACCTATGTACTATGCAAAACAGGATAAATAAAATCCATGTCAAGAAGTTTATCCAATTCCTCTTTTACTAAAAGAGAATATTTTGGGTTAAGCCGGTGTTGACTTTGACGAACTGGTATAACACCCTCCTCAGAATAATCTGGTGTTCACACACGTCAACTGGAATTTCTTTCAAATCCGCATACAACCATGCAAAGGTAGATCTGTGATGGATAAAAAACTGTTCCCAAGCATCCAATTCTATACCTATAATACCGGCATATATTTTAATTAGCTGTGGCATTTCGTTGGTGCCCAGGTTAACAGATTGACACATAGGATCTTCAACAACCTCTGATTTAATTATCTTCTCCTGATCTAAATATCTTGTATTATCCGACATATGGGAACCACCCAAATCTGGTTCCAATGTGCTGACTCTATTGGCTGCGGAATTGTTCATCCATTTGGCAATAGCATGATCCGAATTAGTCGCATCCTCCTGATGCAGTAAATATTTACCGGGACTTCCACATTGGTAGACTCCTGCCTTTGCTGTTGAAGTGTTTTGTCCTACCCCAAATTACAATGAACCTATAGAATTGTCATCTACCTCAATCGATTGACTCTCAGTGTCCGATGTAAATTCTGATTCTGACAATTGAGATTCTCCATGATATTGTACCGGGTACATCTGTAGAACAATCTAGTCTCGACCTTTTTCAATTATCAATGTGCCTCGGCCCCAATCGTTCTTAGCTTTTGCTTGATAAAGTCAAGGTCTGCCCAATAAAATAGGATATGATAACGTAGAACTCTATAATTGGAATATAGTATAATCGATTTTGTATGTCAATCCCACGATTACAATGGCAATATTACGTAAGATTCCTAATCGCTTTACTCGACTATAATCTACTATTCCCAAGACCAATGTCGTAGGTAGCAATTGCTTTAGATCCAAGTCCTCTATTGTATCTACGTTCATTAAATTCACACTGGAGCCACCATCGACTTCTATCCCTGGAATTAAAACGCCATCGATTGATACATCGATTATTGGTTTAAGCTAACTTCATGAATTTCTTTAGTGCGGGATCTTCATCATATTAACTCTGAATTCAATGTAGATCAACATTCCGGTGCTATAGCCAAAAGTTGCTTCATTATAATTGAAGGTTGAATAACATCTAAATCCTTCAGAATGTCGTAGGGTTCCATATTGAGAGTAATTTCCAATGCTCTTTTGCGTTTCATTGGTTTCGATTTTACTCCGTTTGGCAGCAATTCCTTCCTGGCGATTGGGATTGCCGTTGATAACTTTACTAACTTTTCTACCACTAAAGGTTTCTTTAATGCGTAAGATCTTTTGTTGGGCTGTACAGGTATTGGTACTTGGTTAGTTGGAATCGATCTTGATGGTCCTGGCAAATTGGCACGTGAGACCAAATTGGGTTCCTCAGTCTATTGAGGTTTCAATATTGGAATACATCTCAATACTGATATTGGTTTGTTTAGCCCCATGGACGATGCTACTTGCTCTCCTGCGATTGGTTCATCCAGGTCCTGAATTGGATTCTTGTCTTTTTGTTGGCCTCTGGTAAACACTGTGTTCACCACCTCGACACGATGTACTGGTGAGTCTCGTTGAACAGGGCCTTTGTCCTTCGTCGGTTGGCTTGTTTACATTTGCTAGTCCCGGTTATTATAATTAAAGGGCACATTACACTGCTGATAAGTGTGACCAGACTGCTTACAATTTCCACATATTGGAGCATAGTCATCATTAGCCCTTGGATTAGGACATTCACTTGCATAATATCCGATTTGTCTGCAATGATAGCAACGAAGTGGTCTCTTGCCAACTCCTTCAAGGATAATGGGTGTCTCTA